GGCTCACATCTGTAATCCCAGCACTTTGGCAGGCTGAGGCAGGAGGATCACTTGAGGTCAGGAGTTCGAGACCAGCCTGGCCAACATGGTGAAACACCGTCTCTACTAAAAATACAAAAATTAGCTGGGCGTGGTAGCACGCACCTATAGTCCCAGCTACTTGGGAGGCTGAGACAGGAGAATTGCTTGAACCCGGGAGGCAGAGGTTGCAGTGAGCCAAGATTGCACTACTGCACTCCAGCCTGGTGACAGAGTGAGACTCCATCTCAAAAATAAATAAATAAATCATACATGAGGTGGTTAGGGTTTCCCACCATCCCTCTGACTAGTTTACAAGCCTTTTTCAGGGCAGGGTTCCTTTGTTGTCATTTCAACAATGCTCATAACATCTTCACCAGATGTAGATTCCATCTCAAGAAACCATTTTCTTTGCTCACCCACAAGAATCAACTCCTCATCCATTCAAGTTTTATCATAAGATTAAAGCAATTCAGGCCAGGCAAGTTGGCTCATGCCTATAATTCCAGCACTTTGGGAGGCCAAAGCAGGCGGATCACTTGAGGTCAGGAATTCAAGATCAGCCTGGCCAACATGGTGAAACCCTGTTTCTAGTAAAAATACAAAAATTAGCTGGCCGTGGTGACGTGTGCCTGCACTGACCTCATAATCCACCCACCTTGGCCTCCCAAAGTATTGGGAAACAGGTGTGAGCAACTGCACCCAGCCAAAATATTCTTAATGATAACACATTAAAATCAGAAATTGTCTTCCTCTGAAAGATTTCTTAAGAAACTAAATAAACAAGGCACTGAAGTTAAATTCATTTAACCAACAGTCAATTAGCATTTTTAGCTTTAAACACTCTAAATCAAAGCCTAGCTGCATAATCCCCTGTGGAGTGGAGAGAGAACATATGCAACATGCTAAACATTCATCTTACACCCACCAGACAGGCAATAGTACTCAGAGTCAGAACTGAACACCCATGGTCTGAAACACACTTGCTCAAAGAAAGGGAGACTGATCACCTGCCAAGTGTGATGGGAGCTTCCCTGCCAAGTCTATGCCCATCAACACCACTGTTCTCCCGATGACCAGTGAGGCCATGAAACTGTAAAAGTAAAATATACCCGCTATGGTGCAACTTATCTGTAACTCAAGGCAAAACAATGTTAAAAAAAAAAAAAAAAAAAAATTGGCTGGGCACAGTGACTCACGCCTGTAATCCCAGTACTTTGGGAGGCTGAGGCGGGTGGATCATGAGGTTAAGGGATCGAGATCAGCCTGGCCAACATGGTGAAACCCTGTTTCTAGTAAAAATACAAAAATTAGCTGGCCGTGGTGACGTGTGCCTGCAGTCCAGCTACTCAGGAGGCTGAGGCATGAGAATTGCTTGAACCCAGGAGGTGGAGACTGCAGGGAGCTGAGATTACCCCACTGTACTCAAGCCTGGGTGACAGAGCAAGACTCTGTCTCAAAAGAAATAAAAATAAGTTAAAATTAAAATTAGAAAGAGGCCAGGCACAGTGGCTCACGCCTGTAACCCCAGCACTTTCAGAGGCTAAGGTGGGCAGATCATGAGGTCAGGAGTTTGAGACCAGTCTGGCCAGCATGGTGAAACCCCATCTCTACTACAAATACAAAAATTAGCTGGGTGTGGTGGTGCACACCTGTAGTCCCAGCTACTCGGGAGGCTGAGGCAAGAGAATTGCTTAAACCCAGGAGGCAGAGGTTGCAGTGAGCCAAGATTGCCCTTCTGCACTCCAGCCTGGGCGACAGAGTGAGACTCCATCTCAAAAAAATAAAAATAAAAATAAAAATAAAAAATAAAGCAATTCAGTCACATCTTCAGGCTTCACTTCTAATTCTAGTTCTCTTGCTATTTCCACTTTTGCAGTTACTTCCCCGACTGATGTCTTGAACCCCTTGAAGTCATCTGTAAGTGTTGGAATGAACTTCTTCCAAACTCTTATTAATGTTGATTTCAACCTCCTCCCATGAATCATGAATGTTTTTGTGCATGTGTGTGGGCAGGTGGGAGTGGCAGGCCTTACTCTATAACCCAGGCTGGAGTGCAATGGCATGATCACAGCTCACTGCAGCTTCAACCTCCCAGACTCAAGCAATCCTCCTGCCTTAGTCTCCCAAGTAGCTAGAACTACAGGTGCATGCCACCACACCTAGCTAGTTTTTGTAATTTTTATAGGGATGAGGTTTTGCCAAGTTGCCCACCCTAGTCTCCAACTCCTGGGTTCAAAGGATCCACTCACTTCAGCCTACCAAAGTGCTGGGATTACAGGTGTAAGCCACTGCACCAGGTGGAATCATGAATATTTTTAATGGCATCTAGAATGGCAAATCCTTTCCCAAAGGTTTTTAATTTAATTTGCTCAGATCCTTCAGGAGAATCACTATCTATGGCAGATAAAGTCTTATAAAATGTGTTTCTTAAATAATAAGACTTGAAAGTTGAAATCAAATCAGGCACGATGGCTCACATCTGTAATCCCAGCACTTTGGCAGGCTGAGGCAGGAGGATCACTTGAGGTCAGGAGTTCGAGACCAGCCTGGCCAACATGGTGAAACCCAGTCTCTACTAAAAATACAAAAATTAGCCGGGCAGAGGGAATGGGCGCCTGTAATCCCAGCTACTCGGGGGGCTGAGGCAGGAGAATCACTTGAACCTGGGAGGAGGAGGCAGGAGAATCGCTTCAACCTGGGAGGGAGAGGCTGCAGGGAGCCGAGATTGAGCCACTGCACTCCAGCCCGGACAACAGAGTGAGACTCTGTCTCAAAAAAAAGAGAAAGGTGAAATTACTTCTTGACTCACAGGCTGCAGAATGGATGTTTTTAGTAGGCATGAAACAACATTAATCTCCTCATGCATCTCCATCAGAGCTCTTGGGTAACTAGGTACATTGCAATGAAGCAGTAACTTTTTTTTTTTTTTTTTTGAGATGGAGTCTCGCACGTTCCCCAGGCTGGAGTGCAGTGGCACGATCTCAGCTCACTGTAAGCTCCACCTCTCAGATTCATGCTATTCTCCCACCTCAGCCTCCTGAGTAGCTGGGACTACAGGCGCCCGCCACCACACCCCGCTAATTTTGTTTTTGTATTTTTAATAGAGACAGGGTTTCACCATGTTAGCCAGGATGGTCTCAATCTCCTGACCTCGTGATCTGCCCACCTTGGCCTCCCAAAGTGCTGGGATTACAGGCCTGAGCTACCACGCCCAGCAGCAGTAACATTTTGGTAAGACTAGCTCAGTGCTTTTTCTGAGCAGTAGGTCTCAACACTGAGCTAAAAATATTGGGAGGCTGGAGGCCAGGCGCAGTGGCTCAGCCTGTAATCCCAGCACTTTGGGAAGCCAAGATGGGCAGATCACAAGGTCAGGAGATCGAGACCATCCTGGCTAACACGGTGAAACCCTGTCTCTACTAAAAATACAAAAAAATTAGCCAGGCGTGGTGGCAGGCGCCTGTGGTCCCAGCTACTTGGGAGGCTGAGGCAGGAGAATCGCATGAACCCAGGAGGTGGAGCTTGCAGTGAGCCGAGATCATACCACTGCACTCCAGCCTGGGTGACAGAGCGAGACTAGGTCTCAAAAAAAAAAAAATATTGGGAGGCCGGGTGCAGTGGTTCATGCCTGTAATCCCAGCACTTGGGGAGGCGCAGAGGTGGGCAGATGACCTGAGGTCGAGAGTTCGAGACCAGCCTGACCAACATGGATAAACCCCATCTCTACTACAAATACAAAATTAGCTGGGCATGGTGGCGCATGCCTGTAATCCCAGCTACTCAGGGGCTGAGGCAGGAGAATTGCTTGAACCCGGGAGGCAGACGGTTGTGCGTGAGACAAGATCGCGCACCAATTGCACTCTAGCCTAGGTCAAAAGAGCGAACACTCCTGACTCACACACAAAAAAAAACAAACAAAAATCGGTAAGACCCATCTGTTGTGGTCCGCGCTCATCGCCTGTAGTCCCACGCACTTTGGGAGGTTGAATGAGGGTGGATCCGCTTGAGCGCCACGGAATTGAGACAGCCTGGCACACAACCGGTACACAGCTCTTACTAAACATACCCAACAAATTTAGCCACCGCGATGGTGGTGCAGGTTGTATTCAGCTATTGGGCAGGCTGAGCATTGCGATAACCCTCTCGAACCACACCGACAGAGAGGTTGCGTCGCGACCGGAGCTCCGCAACCCCGGCACTTCCAGCTGGGTGACGCAGCTGGACTTGTCGCCACATACAAAACAACCCAACAACACGCCGGTGCCCTTATGCCTGCGGTAGCTGTATCCAGGGGCGTTGTTGTTGCATTGTGTAGGGCCACGACGCAGAGCGATTTAGCCTATTCTTTCTTCTTTTCTTTCCTTTCTTTTTTTTTTTTTGAGACGAGTCGCTCTGTCGCCCAGGCTGCGAGTCAGTGGCCAGATCCTGCTCACTGCAAACCGCCTCCCGGGTCTACAGCATTTCCCTCGCCTCAGCCCGCAGAGCGGGGACTACCAGGCACACTCACCCGGCTCAGTTTTTCGGTCATTTTTTAGTAGAGACGGGGGTTTCACCGTATTACAGGTCGGGTCTCGATCCTGACTTGTGATACGCGCTCTCGCAGTCCCAGTGCTGGGATTACAGGCTTGCCACGCGCGGCCCGACTTTCAGCATAATTAATTACACGGCTTGGAACTCCTTCGAAATAGGATAAATGAGCGTTAGAGCCAATCAACCTAAAACGTTATCATCGCACAGTATCCACCTTTAAAAAGAGAGTCAGCCTGTCCTTCAAGGCTCTGAATCTGGCTGGACGGAGTGGCTTCATGCCTTAAATCCAGCACTTCTGAGAAAGTCACCAACCGGCACGACAGATACACATTGCAGCCCAGAGTTAGGACCGACCGCACTGGGCAACATTGGAAATCCATCATCTACAAAAAAAAAAAAAAAAAAAGCTGGGTGCGTGGCTCACTAGCCGCCGTAATTCCCAGCCTATGCCCCAAATTGGGCGGAGGCCAAGGTGGAATGAGATCACCTGAGGTCAGCGCAATTTAAAGACCAGACTGGCCAACATGCTGAAACCCATCTTATAAAACAATATCAAAAAAAAAAATCTAGCCTGGCGTCGGTGGTGGGTGCAAGTAAATCCAGCCACTTGACGAGGCTGAGCACGAAGATACGCTTGAACTCCACGAGGTGAGGTTGCAGTAACCCAAGATCATCTGCCCATTGCATCTCCAGCCTAGGACAGAGAGACACCTGTCTTTACCAAAAAAAAAAAATATCATTAAAATAGCCTATATACTGAAATACAATCCAGCCCCAGGCATGCCGCGCTCGCGCAAGTAACCTGTAGTCCTAGCTACCCAGGAGGCTGAGGTGGGAGGATCACTTGAGCCCAGGAGGTTAAGGCTGCAGTGAGCTGTGATCACACACTACAGCCTGGGTGACAGGGCAAGACCCTGTCTCAAAAAAAAACCAAAAGAAAGGTGGGGGGGCTCTGAACCCAGGCACTGACTTTTCCCCTCTAGCTAGCAAAGAGGTAGATGGATGGCATCTTCCCAATAGAAGGGTGTCTTGTCTACATTTAAAATCTGTGGTTTAGGCCAGGCACAGTGGCTCATGCCTGTAATCCCAGCACTTTGAGAGGCCGAGGCAGGCAGATCACTTGGAGGCAGGCAGATCACTTGAGGTCAGGAGTGTGAGACGAGACTGGCCAACATGGTAAAAACCCATGGTGAGGCTCTGTCTCCAAAAAATAATAATAAATAAAAATAAAAGAAAACAAAATCTGTTGTTTAGGCCGGGCACAGTGACACACCCGTGATCCCAGCACTCTGGGACGTCAAGGTGGGAGGATCACTTGAGCCCAGGAATTCAAGACCAGCCTAAGCAATGTGACAAAACCTACAAAAAATCTCTGCAAAAAATACAATAATTAGTCGGGTGTGGTGGTGGCACCTGTAGTTCCAGTTACTTGGGAGGCTAAGGTGGGAGGATCACCTGAGCCTGGGAAGGTCAAGGTTGTAGTGAGCCATGATTGTGCTACTGCATGAGGTAGCAGTAGCTACCTTTTTTTTCTTGAGACAAGGTGGCACCTTGTCTCAAAAAAAAATAAATGAATAAACAACTTTCTCCATATCAGCAATAAGGCTGTTTCAGTCTCTTATCATTCATGTGTTCACTAGAGTAGCACTTTTTATTTTTTTAAGATGCAGTCTCACTTCTGTCACCCAGGCTGGAGTGCAGTGGCGCAATCTCAGCTCACTGAAACCACCATTTCCTGGGTTCCTCCATCCTCGCGGGCCACAGGCCAATGGAAAAGAAACCCAACTCTACAGAAGAAAAAAAAAAAAAAAAACACATACAAAAATATAC